GTTTTTTTTTCGAGGGTACGCAAATTGCGTACCTTAGCTTTATAGAAGGAGAGAAATACAGCCATACAACCACATCTACCTCTCGCTGCGAACAGCGAGCGTAGCACAACTCCACACCCGACACAAGTAAGGAAACCACACACACGACACACACTACGACAAACAGAGCCTACCCAAAACCGATATCCTCGCCGCGTCTCGACCGACGCCGGTGATCATCGAAGAACAGCAACTCCAGCTTCCCAGGAAGAGCCAGCGACGACCGTACATAGCGCCAGAGAAGAACGATTCAGGTAGCGGTGCATGCCGGAGGAGCGCAACATAGGGCCTCTTATCTCCAAGCACGAAGCTCCCAACAGAGAAACAGCGTCAGAAAGACGCCGCCATCGTGCCGATCCTACGAATCAAGGCTTTCGCCCCGGAGATGGTTGCCGATACAAGGCACCGTGAACAATGACGCTACACTCGGCGACGCCTCCAGGAAGGGGAATGGCACCCACAGGTGCCATCGACGCCGGTCCGACCAAGGCCGAACAGAATTTTCATCCGTAGCATTGCACATTTCCACGCCACCAAGCTTCCGGCCAGCCCCGAAAGATGCCTCACACCGCCAACACTGCAGCCACTTGCAGTCGGAGCCACACATCACTGCCGAGGAAGCACGCCTCAAGCCACCACCTTCAGCACACTAGGAACCACAGCAACCACCAATCGATGTGGGGACCAGATCCGTCGCGATGGCCTTCACCCGCACCTAGGGACTGCCACACAAATGGACCTGACACGCACCACCAGCCACACTTCGGCGCCAACTTCACCGAGGCATCACCGCCGGCACCTCACACGTAGGTGGTCGGGCGCCCGCTGCTCGCCAGGCCCTGCCTAGCCGAGCCTCGCAGCGCCGCCGCCTCCATGGCTGCGCATGCGCTGCCGCCTCCGACGAAATCAGTGCACCACCCACATCCACTCACCCGCTGCACCCCTCGTGTAGATCCAGGGGACCGCCGTCGAGCATCCCGCCGTGAACCAGCCTCCCGCAGCACCCGACCGGGAGCCATCCGACGCGCAAGATCTGGCCCGAGAGCCACGGATCCGCGCAAAGGAGGGCTGCCAGCCAGCCGACCCAACGCCGACCAAGGGAGCCACCACGGCGCCACAGGCCGGACAAGGCCGCGCCAAGCCGAGCAGGGCCGCGCCACGCCGCCCGGAGCAGGGCATCGCCGAACCCAAACGCCGCCGGCACGCCCCGTGCCACCCGGAGCAAGGCCGCGCCACTCCGCCCAGACGGGAGCCACGCACGCGTCGTGCCTCGCCAGAGCCACCCCCGCCCGCCGCCGGCACGCGAACCACGCCGGCGTGAGGGCCTCCGCGCCAGATCTGGCGTCCCGCGCCGCCTGGTGCCTAGAGAGGAGGAGAGAATCCCCGCCGCCGCCGACCCGCCCGGGCTTAGCCCGGCGGCGTCCCTTGGCGGCGGCGAGGGAGTGGGGAGGCGGGGCGGGAGGGCTGGCGGCGGCGCGATTTAGGGTTCCTCCCGGGCCGCTCGCGGGAGCGGCACGGGGGAAGGGGGGGGGGATTCCTATGAGCTCCCAATTGATCTTTGTGGCAGGGCAGTAGATCATCTAGTTCGTGAAGATCGGGCCACCCTAGGGTATTCCCTATATCAAATATGATACATACTCCCTTCATTTCTAGAGCATACTACAAATATGAGAAATCTAAAACATCTTTATATGTAGGAACAGAGGGAGTACCTTTTTCTACATAAAAAAATCCATATATAAAGTTTCATAAAAAATACAACCGTGCATTGTGAACGAGTGTCCGTCTGAATCTGGATAAAGTTGATTGGATAAGTGGGTCAAATTGGATCAACGTGGTTATGAACCTATAACCATTTACTCGACGATCGGGGTCAGATATCCAGGTCGAAATCCATGTTAATCCACGCATAGTTTCAGGAACCAAGCCCCAGTCTATCTATCAATCCAAAGCCGCGCGCATCCAACGGACGGACGAGAAATGCTCCATCAAAAATCCAACGGACGGAGAAATCCCGCTTTCCGTGCGGAACACAGCATCGACCGACCGACCGAACCCGTGTGCCGAAAGCCGGAAGCAACGAGATTCCACTCATCCAGCGCGTCGCCACGCCATCACTCGGCTGCGGCCCCGCGACCCGTCTCCTCCTCCCCCCCTCACCGGCCGTCCCCCCGCACCGCCCACCAATCCAACTCCGAATCGTCCTCCCCCCACCCCGCCCCGAGGTCGCCGGTCGCCGGTCGCCGCAGCACGGCAGAACCCGGCGGAGAGGCTAACCGAAGCGGCGGAGGGGTTTGATCCGGGAAAGCATGAGCCTGGCCTCCCGCGCCCCCCGGCGTCGAGCTCGAATCGGGAGATAGGAATCCGCGGAGGAGGAGATGTCCTCCTCGCAGTCGCAGGAGGGGAAATCCGAGGGCGCTGGGACGGGTCAGGAGGAGCGGCCCTCCAAGGCCTGGGGGCTGCTCGTCTTCGGCCTCGTCGGCGCCGCCACCGCGACCCTCGCGGTGAGCAACCCCGCCTTTCTCTCCGTCCTGAGTGCTTTCCCTGTTACGTTGTTCTAGCTTGGTACATTTAGTTCTGGCTTGTAATAATCGCGGTGTGCGTGATCATCAGCCTCGCTTGCTCGTTTAGTATTACGGCTTCCACGACGATTTGCTCCATTTAGTTCTGGCTTAACTGCAATCTGCTGTACCATTCACAATTCCGCATCAACTCTGTTGCGGAAAGCACCGCTGCTATTCTGAAGGATTGAGCGTTTCTTATGCTATTTACAACCTCCTGTGGTTTGAAATACATGGCACTTGACTTGAATCCTGTTAGTAATGCTCTTGAACCACCCCACACTGCTCGCTCTGTTGATCCAAAGCGAGGCCCTCCTCTTGAGATTACACGAGCACTGCAAAAGGGTAGATGCTATGCTTAGGACTGCACTGCCACACTCCCTGTCTTGCGTGCGAGGTGTGTTGCTACGACCTGTCAGTAATACGAGGTTACTGGCAATTGCTTGGCCTCTTTGTTATCTTTGTGATATTCAACTTGCTTGAAGATAAAAGGTATTTTAGTATCTTCTGCTACATTTCATTTGATCGACATTTTTATTTGTATTTTCCTCTGTGACAGGTTGGTCATGTTCGTAAAAGTGTTGATTGGTTCTACACTCAGGTACCTTTCTAAGTCAGTGTCAATTTCTTCTTCGATTTGCCCCTTCTAAACTGTCGGAAACGGCATTTTAGATCATCATGATTGGCGGTTGTTAGCTTGTTTACCCCAAATTTATGTTTTATGTCTAGAGGCTTCAGCAATACTATGTTTTGTAGTTCGTTGTTTTTTATGGGAAATAGCAGAAGGATCATTAGGTCGATGTAATGGTCTGATGAGAATCATTATCTTGCTCTCTAAAATTTAGTACTGTTTGGTGTTTAAGATTTTGCCAAGGCTAGCCTCTCGTCATTGTCTTTGGCTTATGCTAGTACTAAGATAGACCATCTAGCGGTTTCCACAGGAAGAAAACTGCCATGCTCTCTCTAAACTCACTTTTGTATTGCCAGAATTACATTGGTTCAGTTATTAGTCCAATGTGAACTATACTTTGAAGACATAGGGAGAACCAATAGGGGATGACGAATTTATCATCCTGTACTCAGTTATACGCTCAGTTTTCGTTGCCTTTTGACTTCTAAGTGTTTATTTATATGCTCCTTTTTCCTGCTGCTCTTCCATCAAAAGCTGAATAAGGTGCAGACAACATCATCCTGGAGGAAGACAAGTAAAAGATCCACCGGTGGAACTTTTAGTGACGATGCTAGGAGACGATATTATCAACGTATGCAGCAGGAATTTGAGGATGAACAGGAAAGAGTTGTGAGTTCATTGAACTGTTTACACTATTTACCTTTTTAGAACTTAGAATTTTTGAAATTATGCTCGCT